ACCCCACGTTCTTCATCACTTGAATGATGTGATGTCATTAATGCCTTACTTGCATGATCTCCATCTGAAGATGAACTTATTTCATTGTCATTACATGCTACATATGCTTTCTTTGGCCTTTTATCATTATTGCTTTTGAATTTATTCTTCTTTTCAAGGGTAGAGCATTCACTCTTGACATATCCTCTTTTTCCACATTCAAATCATATAATTTTCCTTATTGGTGCTTCTTTATGAATGATCTCCCTTTTCCTTTCTTTTCTTAAGAACTTTTCAAACCTTTTGATAATATCACCATCTTCATCATTAGTGGACTCGTCCTATTAATTACTATCATGATTTTTTACTCTAGTATTTAAGGAAATATTTTTAGATTTCTTTTATTGATCTTCATGCTTCTTCAATCTTTCAAACTCTATCTCATGCTCTTGGAATTTTTTGAACAATGTTGCGGAAGTAATTTTGGATGGACTGTTCTTTTCTCATATCGCCATCACTTTCAATTGCCATGCCTTTTTTAATGACCTAAGTACTTTGAGATATAATTCATTATGAGTAAAAGTTTTACCGAGTGTCATTAAGTGGTTCGTCAAGTGTGTGAATCTTTTCTGTAAGTCAAGAATTGATTCTCTGGGTTGCATCCTGAACATTTCGTATTCTTGAGATAATGTGTTTAGTTTTGACCTTTTTGCTTCCATGGTTCCTTCATGAGTGACTTAAAATGTATCACATATCTCTTTTGATGCTTTACAATGAGAGATACAAAAGAAATCGTCCATAACAAGTGTTGATTGAAGCATGTTATTTGCCTTCATGTCAAATAGGACTTTTTCTTATCATCATCATCATCATCATCCCATGAGACTTTTACTTTGATTTGTTCTACATTGTTAGTAACTGTTGTAGGAATGAATGGACCATTTTCAACAACATTCCAAATATCATCGCCTGGTGCCTCAAGATATGTTTGCATGCAAAATTTCCAAAAAAAACATAATATTCAAAAACAAAGGATAAAGGTTTGTTGTTGCTGCCACCATCACTAAAAATCGGATTAGCAGAAAACATGTTTGTTCGATTGTAGGAGCAAGTTACATTAACATACTCTGATACCAATTATAAGTATAAAGTGCAATCTAAGAGGGGGTGAATTAGATTTTTAGACTTTTTCAATTATTTTAGAGATGTTCTTATGTTCTTATGTTCTTATTTTTACACAAGTATGTTGATGAACTTATGAAGTAAAGTGCATAATTTAAATGCCAAAAGTAAAGAACACAACAATCTATATTAGTTTCACTTATCAATCAAGGATATATCTAGTCCCCTCACACTCTGTGATAGATTTTCACTATTGTTGGATCTTTGTACAAATCTTCTCCTACAATCTTTTAACAACAACAAAGAAGCACGTCACTTTCTTGATTTCACAAAACACCACTATGAACTATGGTAGACTTTTAACCACCTTTATTCAAATGACCTTTTCAATAATCACCAACATTATGATGATTATCACATAAACTAGAAAGTACACTATTTTCTATTACAAAACAATTCACCACACACTTGGTGATCAAATGCAAGTCTTGAACAAACATGAATATGAAGTTGTTCTCGAATCAATTCGAATACAAAAAATTGATTTTCTCTTTAATGTACAATTCAAATATATAACCTTAAAATGATCAGAAAATGCATAAAAGGTTTCAAGGTTTTGGATGTAGAAAAACTCTTAGACAGATTTGAATTGTTGTTTAAATTTGAGTGAAATAGGTGAAATCTGAATTTTGAATGATCGTTACCTTATATACATCCTATGAGACATCTTGGATCAGTTGTACACGTAGGTAAGATATTTCATGATGGGTTGCATTGGTTTAGAATCACAATGTTATGCATTTTACAAACCTAAAAACATGTTGATTGTTCAAAGTTCCAGAGTGTAACAAGTTACATAAATTAGGTAACCAATTGTACTTAGTTCATTTTTCAAAACTACTAAAATTTGAATTTGTAACCAATTTGCAAAAGAGTGTAACCGGTTACACATTTAAAAAGTGAAAAAAATACTTTTTCAAAAGACTTGGAATGCAAGGTATTGATGCATGGATGCTTAGAAACATTTGAGATGAAATGATGAATAATTTTCTGAACATCTATGGATATACATACTATGAACTATATTAGAATACCTTTGCAACAAGATCAATTCCTCTTAAATCAACATCTAAAGGCCTATGTAATCTTGATACTTGAATGAGTTGGGACTACAACATTTTATCATCATGAACAAAGATTATTTCCATCATTGTCATTCAAAATTAACTTAGTGCATATTTGATCCTTTTGAGATATGTCTTGAACTTTACGTTGAGAAGCATTTTCCTTCTTTTTGACAATTGGAGTTGATATTATTTTGTTTTCATCAAAATCTCATACTTCGTGTATATTGTCTTTGTAACATCCTAGAGTGCTTTCAAGATTACCGACTGATCCCACAAACTAACACATGTCTTTTCAACATGCTTTATCATCACTCACACGTTTTTTAAGAAACTTCCCAAAAGGTCACTCATCCAAATACTACTTGAAGACAAACACGTTTAACAATGGAGTTCTTATTTGTTAGGCTATTAAAAAGAAGGTGCATCTTGTTGGTATATGTAGTATCAATCAATCCTTACAAGTCCTCCTTCAACAATGTAATCACATTATTAAATAACCTCAGAATCTTTCTTTCTATGTGAATTCGGGGGACCACTCCCCGCCCTCTTCGGCCTTAGGTGTTATAACCACACCTTGCCTTATTCGTCCTGTGTTACTTGCCCACCAACTTCCGTCTGGTTCGTCCCTAAACTTCGTCGTACTGGGAGAGTTCTACTTTGATAGCATTTGTAACGCCCTAGTGTGCTTTCAGGATTACCGACTAATCCCACAAACCAACACGGGTCTCTTCAACATGCTTTGTCATCACTCACATGTTTTTCGGAAAACTTATCAGAAGGTCACCCATCCAAATATTACTATAAGTCAAGCACAATTATCAGAAGGTCACTCACATGTTTGGGATAGAATTTAGAAATTGTACGCTATTAATAGACTGAAATGATTTATTTGCCTCTTGACTCGCGATAAGCTTCTCGCAATTTATAATAAAAGTAGGATGGGGATGATGCATGTTATGTGTTACTAAATCTCTAGGTTCATGCAGTGCTTATGTAGCTGAGTTGTGGGAGTTTTTGAAAGGTTGAAATATGGCCCGAGTCTAGGTTTTGCTGCATTGGAACTAAATGTCAATTTATTGTAGTTGTTCAGGTTCTCAAGAATGGTGTGCCTAGCAACATGGCAAGTCAAGTTTTGATAATATTTGTTGCTTATTGAATTTACAATGGGAGGTGGTTGTTATTCATTTCTATAGGAGGCTAATCAGTGTGCTAATGTTAGATCATAATATTGTTTTTTTTTTAAGTCTTCTCCTAATCAAATTAGACATTTGTTAGATGTTGATGTTAGGATCCTAGAATGATTTGTGTTATCTTTCTCTTTTCAAGGTTTTGGCCCTCTTTATTATCAAAATAAAAAGTACATGATATTAGTTTTAAAGCTTGATAAAACATTACATTCTCAATCAATCACAAACAATTATTAATTTGACTTAAAGTACTATATAACTACAGTTAAATACTTTATTTTTATCCATAACATCCAATCAAATTACACTATAACATCACCTTTAAAATTAGTTTATAAAACGTTTCTACAAATATCTATTAGGTGATTTAATTGGACGCAGTATGAAAATTTTAAAAATATATTTTGTAGGATTTTGGTGATATGAAAAATAGTGATGCAGATGAAATATTGGTGGAGGAATTGTGAATTGATGATATAGAATGTATCTATTGCAACTTATATATAAGCATAAAAAAAGAGATTAATAGTCAAATAAGAGAATTTTGATTAACCTACATTTTGATGTAATTAGATTGCATGCAACTATAAAAATAAATAAAAATATCAAAAAAAGTTGACACAGAATAGAAATAAATCTTTTTAATGATCCAATACATATAGTTAATTGGCAACCTAACAAAAAGGATAATACTAAGTTGTGTCCCGAGACACAAATTAAGAGATAAATATAATAAAAATTTATGAAAATTGTGTATTGAAATTAATATAATATTATAATTAATGATCTTATTAATTTTTTCTATACAGATTTTCTATTTATGAGTTTTTTAACATGTACTCAAAACACTTACCATTACCCTTTTATTAATAATCGAAAAAAGTGGAAACTACTGTTTTCTACAATTTATGAACCATCAAAAGGAAAAGCATCGCAGCGTTTAATTACATCAAAATACTTCAATATGCAACCATATAGCATCAGTGCAGTATTAAAGACCATTTTTAAAAGACCATATATTTATTAGATTTTTTTTCATGTATGTATCCTACACATAATCCATAAAAAATGTTTCTCAGCTGCTGCATAATCCATTCATAAAAAGGCTAACTATCTACTTGCATCATACAGCAGAGTACATGTTCATTGAGGCACTAACAAAAGATGCTATGCAAAGTCGTCGGTAACAATTTAATAAAGTACACAATAAACAAGACTTAATAACAACCTTACCACCCCTATAACCTTGAGAACGGTTTCAATCAATTGCCATAATGATTTGTGAAATCAATTCTGTATTGCTATAACTACTCATCCCGATCTACGCCATTTCCTGCCATGTTATGTTACATAAATATGGCCGCTTAACTGTAGCAAACTGAATTAAGACACTCAGGAAACTAGCAAGATCAAAATGGTAGTCACAATGCAGAATCGGTTTTACAAATTGTTATTGTTATGACTGAAACATTTAAAAGTTTAGGACATGATTTTAAAGCCTGGCCTAAAAAACTTATAGAAAATGTAATTCAGCCCATAAAACAATTTCTCCAGTGAGTTGATATTAAACACCTCTTGAAAGTCATTATTGATGAGCATTCAGCAGCGTTCTATAAACCATATCAATGAACTGATTGTCCTATCATGGAGCCAAAAAATAAAGAAATTAGAAAATGGAAGGAAAACCGAGAAAATTAATTATGTTAATATATGCTTCTTAGTAAGGAATAGATCCATACAAGACTACAAATTTATCGTCAAAATATCATAAACAAGTCCGAAGCAAGTAAACTAACCTGAACGAGCACCAGAAGAGCATCCCGGACCTTTTCTCTAGAAATAACTGGAGCATAGTTTGGAAGGGGAGAAGAAACAGGAGTTAGTGAAGGTGGTGGAGTCGGAGGCGGAAATGGCTGTAGCATTGGAGTACCATAAGGACGCTGTACTGTACCAGTAGGATGAAGCGGAGGAGCAGTAGGTACGGATGAAGATACCGGGGGTAACATCATTGATGCAGAAGAAGGGGGAGGGATAAAAAAAGAAGGCTTCACAAGATTTGTGGCTCGGCTGCTGATGTTGATGGACTCTGGAGCATCATGATGGGGAATAAAAGGAGAAGTTGAAAGAGTTGGTATCTGCAAGGTTGGCAGGGCGGGTGTAGCAGCATGAATTGGCCCAGAAGAAGAAGAAATTGTGGCAGCAGACTGGTAAGGTTGTCTGGTGATTGGAGCATTTGAAGTATTTCCGATAGCCATAGCTGCCTGCAATAATAAAGTATCAGGAATAATCAACCTGGTCGAAACCAAAATACAAATGTTTAACTTATCAATAAATTTTTTGTACTAATATCATTGTGCTGAATTACGAAGAATCTCAGGAGTAGCAATGCTACATTATGAAAATGAACAGGCAAAGGAGTTATAATTCAAAATATAGATAAAAAATAAAATTCACGTGTAATGTCACAAATACTAAAGTCGGAAGATGCATTGCAAGAAAGAAGAACTAAAGACATGTTTGGAATTAATTTTGATCTTGTAGTTTCCAATCAGTCAGCCTATTGAGTATGTCTTTGTTAAATTCAATTCCTTTATTCTCCAACAACAGTAACAAGCAGAAAAAACTATTAGGACATTAGCTGAAAATGGTTTACTTTTACATGAATATAGTTAAAGATTAAAATATTAGGAGCACTGCAGTTAAGTACCAGGGAACCAAAGGACACAATCATGATAAGCATGCATGCAAGATATAAAACCATTTCAAGAAAGTTAAAGACGAAAAAAAATTGTTCATAATGGTACATACACTAAAGAAATTTACGAAGGATGGATCATCAGGAACATCAGCTACATTGGAAGTAGTTGATGACGATGGCTCCAGAGGACCATCCATGACTGCCATAGTTGGTACTGCTTCCAGTTCCTCAAACTCACTGCAATAAATGTAGGCAAGACTTCACTACTTGAATACAAAGTATACAGAGTACAGAAATATATGACAATGTATGTATACCTAATTTATCTGTCCACTACAGAATAATAACTAACCGTTGATTTAAAAATCTCTTGATGGGGATAATAAAAAATTTCTAGGGAGAAAAAGAGGATAGTATGTTGGGAAGATATGCATGATCCATTGAAGTAGAATTACATGAGATAGAGATCAGACAAAACATGCAACAAAGAGAGATAAGCCATGGTGCATGGATATGAATATGATGTATGTAATAGGAGAGTTGAATGGGGCAGGGCTAAGAAATAGAATATTTTGGATTAAACCAGCCCCACAATTCGTGGGTGATCAATCAGGTGTTGCTAGAAGCACGGTATTACCTCTTTGTAGTGGACACCATTGACTTCGTAGGCACTTTGGTATATGCATTAAGGATCCTGAAAATTTATCAAATATAAGTGAATATAAAGATAGGATGAGCAGATGCACATGTGTGCCCTTTGAGGTGGGAATTTAATGATGATTTTATCAAATTCCAAATCAATCTAGATCCGGACTAACATCATCGACAAAAGCCATCGCTAACTATAACAACAACAATTTTGTAAACCGTCACTAACAAATTTATATTTTTGTATGCCTTTCTAACAACAATAACAACAATAATGTATAATTCAATGCTCTATCTATCCACTAGTAATATCTTCAGTTTCACAGATAACTTACTAGGAAATATTTGAACTCTGTTTTCTCATCCTAAGCATGCATGTCCACAAGTACAATTCTGATTATATTTTGCAGTTTTTAAAAGGAAATCATCACCGCAATAGAATATCAATGTAGATGAATGCATGGTATTTCCCATTCTCAAATAAGTGATAATAAATTTTAGTGTGGGTGCATAGTGAAGTGTTAAAAATTATATATGTATCAAAATACATTTGCAATCCAAGGCAATGCTCAAAAGATTAGACATTGAAGTAAGTTATTGAACATACAAAAGCCAATTAGTGCAGTGTATATGTCATTAATGATATAACATCAACGAACTTCAGGATTCCTTGTCATACAAAACAAACACCACATTTTGGTCAGTAACCCTTAAGTTCAATTAGTCATCCATCAGGAATCATTCAAAACCTAATAGATATAGTATATTGGTGTTTAACATTCAAAAGAAGAATGCTGAAGTACTTTTCACCGTAAATTACTCTTTACTGCCTAGAAATATTTTCTCAAATATACTTGTATTAGCTAACTTTAAAATCCTACATTTAACACATCAAGTTTCAAAACATTACTAACATGTTTGGATTTGCTTAAGATATAGGAAGATATTGATTTTTCCTATTTCTAAATCCCTCTCATTCATGTGTTTATTATAAGTGGTTTTGAAAACAAAATAAGCTAATCCGAACACGAGGTATTCTCTCTTGATTACTCAAAAACACTGTAGAGTTAAAAATTTTGCCAAAACCTGAAAACAATACCTGCTAAAAAGATTTGCAATCTCTTCACATTCACGGGCATTATAGAACCAAATACCATTCACTTCTTGAGCAGCATTTCTATACAATAGATATGGAACCTGAACTTCATATTCGAAATCCCCCAGGAGGTTTTCCACCAAATTTTCTGCTTATGCCAACATGGACAAGAATTAAATACATGCATGGACATTATCAATGCTCCATCACCAACACATCAAGTATCACCAAAATATCTATTTTCATTCTTAAAACAATATCTAAAAGACATATTCACAATTTTTGCATTCTCAAAACTCTAAATATCAGTGTCATCAATATATGATTGCAAAAAATAACAAAATGTTGAAAAACTGCCATCTGAAATAGCAGATAGCGTTGCAGGAAAATAGTTGAAGCCGCACAGTGGTTGAAATAAGTCAATTATGAGTAAAAAGGCAAGCTGCATGCAAAATGAAAAAGGGAATAGAGGAAATGCATAGTTTAAGTATTGAAAAGTTAGGGTGAATTTAAAAGTAAAACCTGTTGAATCTTAGTTTTTCTATTTAAAATTATGTTACGTTTGGAACTCAACTGCTAATATTATATATTTTTTCGCGCTACATCTGCTAGCAGAAACTAGAATAGCAGCCACTCTTGCCCTAATAGTGAAACTAGTATAGCATCACAGTTTTTATAGCTGAGTCATCAAAGCCTGCCATGCTACGGCACTATAGTACCGTTATTTGACAACACTTCTAAATATTGAATGCAAGATGCAGAAAGTGGAATGCTGGTAGCCAAGCTGAAGTCCAATCCTAATTTTTTTTTACAAAACAATACCTACCTACCAACAAAAAAATTGCATAATTACCCAACACTCCAAATATAGAGGAATAACTGTTGTAATTTTACAACAATAACTACATACTTAAATATTCCAAGACCAAAATCTGACTCAAAAAACTATACTTGAAGGCCTACTTCCAACAACCAAGGCAAACAAACTGAAATCTAGGCAGCCAGTTAGGCCCCGTATTAACAGAAAATGTAAAAGCATACAATTCAAGCATTACCGACTATTAAGTACGGACACCCCAAACACGAACCCGACACCGACATGGCGACACCAGTAATAATTTAGAAAAATGAATAAATTAAACGTAATTACAAGTGTCGGTGCAGGTGTCTGACCCCGCCGTTTTTAGAGGTGTCCGTGCTACATAGATTATCGATTTGACCACAGGGTTTTGATCTCACTTCCTATTAACCAATTTACAAAATAATCCAAATGGAAACACATGTTGAGAAGCAAAATGTTAAGATTTCAATTTTCATTACCAAATCCATTTCATAAAATGATTACAATAATGAAAAACAGATAGACTCACTCACTCACCAGTATTGCGACGGTTCATCACAATAAACTGAAATCGAGGTTGCATGTTTCTGAAATTAAAAAAAAAAAAAAAAAGAAAAACACAATTAACCTCAGTTAAAAACAAAATTCCAATCAAAACACTTGGATCATGGAACTGTTGTAATAAAAACCAAAATTACGAACCTTTTAACAACGAAGAGGGATCCTTCAACATCCTTGCGACTCTGCAAATCAATGGAAGAGAATGAAGAGAGAGAAATAAAGCAGAGAGAAATTAAGCAGAGAGAGAAATAGCGAACCCATTGGCTAAGATCGATGTTAAACTCGTAGAAGGTAACATGAGCAGCGGTGATGAGAATCTCCTCAACAAAAGGGTCAATTCGTTGAAGAACAGTGAGGTTGAGAAGCTTGGTGCTCTGTTGGTCTAGATTTGGCATCAATTTACCGTTCTGAGACATTATTGCGTTTGTATGAATCAGCGATGAAGAAAAAACCCTAGAAAATTGGGGGTTAGGGTTAGGTTCCTTCTCTCTCTCAGAGACACAGAGAACAGAGAAGGGTGAAACGTAGAGAGAGCGCGACGAAATGGAATGCAGGTGAACCGTGTTGAGTATAACTCAGCTTGTTCGGGAAGAAAACGTTGACGAAATTACGGAAATAACCTTCCAACTAATTTATTTATTTGTTTTTTGTTTTAGTTCGTACTTGTAGTGATATGATGATTAACGAACAAGTCTATTTTGGTGTCTTAGATTAATTTTCTTACACGGAACATGTCACAACAATTCTTGATTGGGATTTTATAAATAGTTAAGATTGAAATTAAAGTTCCGATTCAATTTAATGGATACTTATGTAAGGATAGCGAAATTAAAGTTCCGATTCAATTTAATGGATACTTATGTAAGGATATCTCATATCATAATGTTGAAACAAATGGGAACTGTCATATTACAAGCAAACTAATATAACTGCATGTTTAGATTAGTTTCAAAAACACTAAAATTTTAGTTCAACTTGTAAATTGGGTTTTAAATTTTTTTGGTATTTGTTAAAAGCAATTCTCTTTCTCAAAAAACAAATTTCTAAAAGTCACGGTTCTTAATTTTTGAAATCATCGAGGATTTCGGTACTCATGAACAACAGTCTTGCATAGAAGTTTGGTGTTAGTAGAGGTCTTAAGTAAGAGATTCGATGTCCCCATTCTTATTTCTCTTATTACTTGAAGGTTTTAATCTTCTAATAAAGATAGAAGTTAAGGTGAGAAACTATTTCGATTATAAATTTGAAAAAGAAAAAGACAGCTTCTCTCGCCTTTAATATGCAGACAACACACTAATTATTGGAGAAAAAAATGAAGCAACATCAAAAACATAAAGGCAAATCTGACTTTATTCGAGATGATGTTGTTTACTGAAAAAATTGTAAACAAACGCTTATCTTTCTAATTAAAAGAAATTGGGTTACGTACAGGATCGACCACACAAATCCTAAGACATGTGCTAGCAATTCTTAATTAAGGGTTTGGAAAATAATAAAGATTCCATTATTATCCATGATCTAAAGACTAAAAACTTCAAATTTTAGAAGAAGTAAAGTGTATAAACTTGATCAAAAGACACTTAAATAATTTGAACTCTAAAGAGATAGAATTTGTGATAAAAAGATAAAATTGACATTAAAAACATAAAGATATGGTGTAATCAAACGTACATTTTCTTCGACATACTCTTTTTCTTTACACGCGGATACTTTGAGTATTTTTAGAAATTTTGTACAATCTTTTGAACACTAAAGAGATAGAATTTGTAATAAAAAAGATAAAACTGACATTAAAAACATAAAGATATAGTGTAATCCAACGTACATTTCCTTCAACATACTCTTTTTCTCTACACGCGGATACTTTGAGTATTTTCAGAAACTTTGTACAATCTTTTGAACACCCCCTTTCTAACACTAAGACCTTCTATTTATAATGGTAGAAAATAACCGACCTTAACGGTTACACCATAAACAAATGACAAGTGGTGATTGTTCCTTAGAAAACTCCATGTGTCCTTCTTCATAAATCTGGATAAAAACGAAAATTCCCTCCTTTATTTGAATTCAAATTACACGTGGAAATACCATCTTCGTTGAACCATCTTCAGAATATTTTTCTTCATGTCTTTATCCTGCATTCCCTCTTCGCACAAATGGACATTTCGACTAAATAAAATATAGCCATGTCGAAACACATATTCATTACTTCACGTAATTCTTTTTATTACTTCTTTAATAAAAATTCAGGAGTCGAATTTGGGAGCTAACAAATTGCCCCCCAAAAATATAACTTTTGATAGCTGAAGAAAAAGAAATTTTTTGATAACTTTATTCGACACCTTGGTTGACCCATGTATGATTTCGACACATCTGACGAGTCATTGCTACAAGCTGTTTAGCTTCTGTAGCACGCCTATGATGTCATAGTCATGATTACTTTTCCTAAAAATGTCTCCTCAAAACCCACGTGAAAATATTTTACCATCATCACGTATCCTAGACCTTAGGAGATCATGGGGCTAGGTATTAACTGTCACCGCTTCATCAAGGATGAAGGAAAGAACATGTGTCTCACTCCCATTTTAGTCATAAATGCTGCTTCAGAAACTGCTTCCGCTTCCACGCTTATAAACACCCCTTTTTCTATTTCTTTTCTTCTTTTTACACTTTCTGATTCTTTGAACCCATCATCATCTTCTTCTCCAATCAACCTAGTTTACTTCATTTCAACAATGGCTTCTTCGAAACGTTCTAACAAAGATGCCACAAAAGCTCCCAAGAAAACTGCCAAACCTGTGAAGGTTCCCGAAAAGATCTCTCAACTTCCACCATTTGACACCATCAACGGTCAAACTATGGTAGGAAATCAACAGTACTTCCCTTAACCGCTTTCTGAAGAAAAAAGAAGGATTTATGAATCTCATGTACTTATTCCTTTTTCTGTTGCTGGTAAGCCATTGGCTTTATTTGGTCATTTGTCTGATATAAACCCTGATCCTAGTAGACTTAAGGACTTTTTCCCAACTTACCATAGATACAAACCTATAGGTCAAGCTAAAAAAACTTTGGGTTAGCAATGAGGACCCTAATCTCACCAACCAGGACACTCCTTCGACTGAAGAGGCCATTGACCTTAGGTATATGAACAATTTTAGGGTATTTCCGGCAAGTCCCTCCTTTGAGGACCCTTCTGATTACTTGAGTTGGCTAGAAAAGTTAGAGAGAACGAAATCCCAAACCTGGAAAGATATGGGGATCTCTGATTTGATAATGCTGTCGAAAGTAGGTCCAGAATACTGCTCGAACATGCTTCTTTCTTCTCTGTATTTATGGGATAGCACCCACTACACCTTTCACATTCCTTGTGAAATGATGACGCCACACGGTTCGACGTAACCGCTATTACAGGGCTAAGACCAACAGGAAATATGTATGACCTTGGCTATACGTATGAGGATAGCATCAGCTTTACCACCTCTAAGGTGGCATATTCTACTCATATTATGCATTATCATGACAAAGATATCGAAGATGTATCTGATGTAGAACACATAGGTTTTCTGACGTTATGGTTATCCCGTTGTGTCTTTTGCTCGAAATCACTCCAAATTGCAAGGAAGTTTTTAACCATGGCAAATCAACTTCACTATGGCCATAATCTATGTTTAAGTGAGATGATCTTGGCTAGCCTGTATCAATCCCTGATCGAAGGTGTCACTCAACTAAAGAACCTAGGAGACAAAGGAAACCTTCTCCTTTCTAGACCTTTATGGCTTCTTCAATTGTGGTTGAATGCTTCATTCGAAGCTTACCTTCCATACAAAAACCAGGTTGATGAAAACACTAAAGAGATAAAGAACAGGAGATTCGAAGGATCGTGATTGGAAAAATTAACTCCAAGCAATGATGTTAGGCCCATTCGACAGGATTTTACTAGTTACGTTATGATGTTCGTCAAGCGTTATGACTTTACTCCGTCCATGGCACCTTTTGCTGCAAGAAGATGTGGTCCTGAGTGGTTCACCATGTCATTCCCATGTCTGACCAAAGCTCAAGAAGTGGAACCGAATGCCATTTGGGAAGCTTTCCTAGCCATAAGATTTTGACCCTTAGATTTAATCTTTCAAAAAGTCTGACAACCCTAATCGCTTATCAGCCCAATCTCGTGGCTCGACAATTTGGATTAGTTTAAGTTATGCCAAAACCCCTGTATGAAAAGAAACACCTCCTCCTACTTTATAATGCAACCCATAATAAAACTGCAACCATCAAACACATTGCTCTCTATGCCGGTAAAACACAACTCGTTCCTATTTCCTTCGAAGCAAACTTCCTATGCACCCAACAATTTGATGAATGGTGGAAAGCCTATTACGCTGAAGAGTTTTTTGGCGTTGCTGCTTTTACTCATCATATTAACAAGGCTTTCCTCTCTGTGTAGGAAAAAGTCAAGAAAGGTAATTTTACACATATCAAGGAAATCCACGCATTCCAGAAATACTTTGAAACTGCTTATAGACCTGATAATCTTGGCCAAACCGTCTGCAATGCAACCGTTACTTTAAAAGAATTTTTTTAAAAGAGAATAAAGAATTTAAAGATCCCTTCGTACGTTCCTCCCCATAAACGTTACAAAACTGCTTTTAACATGTATCCTCCTAATTTCCTCCGACTACCTAGTGCTGACTTTGGGGTGGATTTTAGCCCTTCATTCCCAGACTAGTTTGTCTATGGGGACTTTATAAAAATCCTTCGACAAGAATCACAAAGGCGTGATTAGCGGGTGATTGCGACTAAGCATACTCTAAACAGTTTCAAAGGTCATCTTCATATTGGGATCGAAGATGTCCGCATTGACTCTGAAATATATGAAGGCGTGGAATGGGGAAGATTTCGACTAACCCTTTTATATTAATCATTTTCTTTGATTTTTAATAATTACTCTTATTTTACTTTAGCCGGGACAATCCCTCTGAAAAAACCGGCGGCCAAGAAGTTACTCGAAGTGAAAGAAGAAGGAAAGAATAAGCTAACAAACAACAACAAAGGTATTTTATCTTTTATTGAGTTTTTCATTTTTTGTATGCTCCATTATAACTCTAACACTTCTTTTGTAGGGTGCTCGAAAACCCCCTCCAACTCCCCAAAAAAGAAAGTCCAAAGACATCAAAGTCCTAGCCATTGAATCGGACGATGAAGACCTATCACCAACTGTTGAATAACCCCTCCTCAAAAGAAGAAGACAACTTAAAATTCCTGAAGCTCTGTCCCAGCCACAGGAAAAAAATTTGAAATTTTTGACCCCAAGACCCACTGCCTTCACAATTGTGGAGTCAACTCCTGAGGCCTTATCGAAGAAAGCTGCAGAGCAGCCTAAAAGTGACAATTCTAGCCCTAAGGCTTATGCTACCAA